ACTAGCGCAAGAGGTTAACATATTGACCGAAAATTGTTTCAAAACGAAAGGATCACGTAGAATCTAATTTGATCGAATAAATTTTTCGACTTTTAATTTTACTTCTCTTTCTTCTTAACCATTATGCCACTAAACCGTTCAAAATAAATAAATTACTCGATACGACGTTAAGAAAAAAAAAAAAAAAAAAAAAAAAAAAAAAAAGAAAACGCTAATTAAGAACAGAAAAAGGCTGCCGCAATTAATAGTACCTACGGCAGTCGGTACGTGCGGTTAGTTCGAAAGGCAAGGACATCTTTTGTGCGTGTGTGTGTGTGTGTGTGTGTTTCACTTGGGGGGAGCAGAGGAAGTTTTTATGCATGGTGGTCCGTCGAAAATAGACAGCGAGGTCGTGTTTCGAACAAGGGATACGTCCGAGGTGCGTGACGTCATTTCCTACACCTGCTGCCATGCATGCTTCCGAATGATAACGCCGCACGTGGTATTGACACACCCCGTACCGCCGTCTGCCATCCAGTTCCAACCACCCTGATGTATCCAAACGTTGGAGGATACGTTGCGTGACGACCGATACCTGCACGATCCACTCCCCCTTTCCCCACCCGCCCCCTGTGCAACGCACACGCTTTGGCAACGATAAATTACACAGCTCCTGCGATGATAATTGTTCCGATTCGTGCCGAGCGATTCTCGTACAGAGAATTTTCATTGCTGCCAGTTGTGCTGGCAGTTACACAGTTAGGAAAATCTTTCACCGTTTTTTTTTTTTTTTTTTTGTTTCATCTTACGTGTGTGTGTTTTTTTCCTTTTTTTTTTTTATGTTTGTGTATCACCTAACAATAAAATAAAGAAAAATTGCGTGTACACGTACAGCAAGTTTAACAGGTCGTGTCAAACTCTAAAATCGCAACGTTCGGTTATTATCTCGTTAACGATGATAATAACTTTCGAGGTAACTTCGTTAGAAAGGCCAATCCACTGCTGTTCAGTACGCTCGTTACGATATCCCTGGACTGTGAAACGATATTTTGAAATTACGCGTCCGTAACGTAAACTCTGAAATATTTATAACGCGTAGCTGTATATACAGTGAGATTCAGAGATTTCCGAGCGGCCAGATTTTGTTATTTCTTCTGCTTTCTCAAGACGAGCGCGATGGACACGTTTAACCCCTTGAGCGTTTGTGTGGATTATGCTCGTAATGAAAAGATGGAATTTTTTTGTTTAATTTCGAGTGTGCTCGTCATGTAGAAAGAAATTCACTTTGTTGTTTATTGTAAAATTTAGGTAAAATAATTATATAAATATTCGTAATTTTAGCATAGTTTAGAATTTAGCAATTTTAGAATATTTCAAGGCAACGAAACAAATAAAGAAAATATGCACTTGAATCGACACAATGCGAAAACAAATTAAATTTATCTCTGATCATTGTAATTTTGTAAATATTTGATTTTTTCACTTTTTTTTTATGAACTGATAAAAATTTAACATTCCTCCACATTTTGAATTTTTAATGGTTTTCTTTTTTATGGAATAACTTTCGAAAAATAAAATATCAAGTTCTACAAACATCGATAGAATTGAAAATTTTTTAAAGAAACACCGAAAAAATTTATCATTTTTTTAATAATTTAATTCAATCTTACAGCAAGTGCATTTACTACTATGTCGAGTATGTCATCGCCTAGCAATAATTAAGCAACAGTGCACACTCTCAAAGTAAAACAAAACGCTCATGAGGTTAAAATCAATAATTATATAATTGTAAAAATATGTTTCCATCGTGCTATATTCTCAAACGTATCAATTACACGATATCGATTGCTCCGTACCGTGTTGCGGTCCTCGAGCGAGTTATTGGCCACGATGGTGTCTTTGTAAGCAACCGAACAGGTTACACCTCGTTGAGAAGTTGAAAATGCAATTGATCGAAGATCTGAAATGCTCGATGAAACAAACATCAGTGGTAGTCTCTCGTTTCATACACTTATGCAACCGGTTTGCGTTGTGCTTTGTCGAACGAAACTTTTTCATAAATATTCCAATTGAAAATAATAGTTCGACAACGGTTCATTGTCTCTAAATTTTAGATAAGAAATTAGATATCTCTCGAGAAATCACTTCTGCGCGATCCTAATAATAAAAATTCCCACGAGCTGCAGCTGTTGATAATTGGACGCTCGAAGGAAAATGCAATTAATCGAAGATACGAAACGCCCGATGAAATAAACATCAGTGTCGACCCTCGACAAACGATTTTTGTATTATCCATCAGTGATTTATTTACGAAGCATCACTTCAGATAAAATGATATAACATTGAAATGATCATTCAATGGATATAATTGGAAATAATCATTCAAATGATACTTAACACGAAATTTTCTTGATCGTTTTAACGTGCGATATCGTTTTAAATTTAATCTCTGGAAAAATAATATTTTTCAAACTTTCGCAAGAAGTCTTATTTATGCGAATTATTCCGAATTATGTGAATTATTTAGCGTCAATTGACTCAGGGTTGTCTTTAGAAATTTTTTCTTCTGAAATTCATTTGTTCTTTTTATGTCGTTTTTCATTCTGTGATATCTGTTCAGATATTATGTTTACTAGTATCACATCGCAATTATCAGGAAATTAGAAAAAGAGGAACTCTAAGCTGTTGACTCTGGATTTAACCTCTTGCGCTGAAATAACTTGCACGTCAAAAATTTTTTGTAAAAAAAAAAAAAAATTGCAACATTTTCTCAGTTTTAAGTATATTTAAATGTAATCCATGCAGAACAAACGATAAGTTTATTACTTGTTAATAATTTCTATCCAGTGATATAAGACGAGTTCAAAACGAAAGCGACGAATTATTGTATACAGTTTGGTCGCTCGTTATGGTCCGCAATCAGTTGCCAGCGCAAGTGGTTAAGGATATCTATAACAATGTCGTTTTCTGACACTGTAGAAAATTTTATTTTATTCAAAAGTTAATGCAGCTTTAATCTGTAATACAATTTAACAATAAACACACTAAAGGTCAATGTATTTAACTAGAATATAGGTTATATTAGGCATAGGTTATGTTATAACATATTATATATTATAGCATAATACGTTACAATAAGTAAAATTATATATTTAAGTAAAACAAAATAGGCAAAACAAATAATAAGTTTATTACTTCTCAATAATTTCTATCCAGTGATATCGTACCGACGAGTTCAAAACGAAAGGGACGAATTATTGTGTACGGTTTGGTCACTCGTTATGGTCCGCGAACCAGTTGCCAGCGCAAGGGGTTAAGAATATCTAACAATGTCGTTTTCTAACATTGTAGAAAATTTTATTTTATTTAAAAGTTAATACAACTTTAATCTGCAATATAATTTAACAATAAACACACTAAAGGTCAATGTATTTAACTAGAATATAGGTTATATTAAGCATAGGTTATGTTATAACATATTATATATTATAGCATAATACGTTACAATAAGTAAAATTATATATTTAAGTAAAACAAAATAGGCAAAACAAATAATAAGTTTATTACTTCTCAATAATTTCTATCCAGTGATATCGTACCGACGAGTTCAAAACGAAAGGGACGAATTATTGTGTACGGTTTGGTCACTCGTTATGGTCCGCAATCAGTTGCCAGCGCAAGGGGTTAAGAATACCTAACAATGTCGTTTTCTAACATTGTAGAAAATTTTATTTTATTTAAAAGTTAATACAACTTTAATCTGTAATATAATTTAACAATAAACACACTAAACGTCAATGTATTTAACTAGAATATAGGTTATATTAGGCACAACATAGGTTATGTTATAACATATTATATATTATGGCATAACATGTTATAATGAGTAAAATTATATTTAAGTAAAACAAAATGGACAAAACAAATAATAAATTTGCTACTTCTCAGTAATTTCTATCCAGTGATATCATACCGACAAGTTCAAAAAGAAAGCGACGAATTACTGTGTACGGTTTGGTCGCTCGTTATGGTCCGCGAACCAGTTGCCAGCGCAAGGGGTTAAGTACGTTTCTTCCCTCAAGAAGGGACAATCGACTGCAAAGAGTCGGTGAACGAAACTTTTTAATAAATATTCCAATTGAAAATAATAACCGATAACAGTCCATTGTTTCCGTGACTTTACAGAAGGATTAATTTCCACTGAAAACGTACCATTAGCACGGTGCAGAGTTTCCTCAAGAATCACTTCTGCGCGATCCTAATAATGAAAAGTGTTCCCACGGGGCCGTAGCTATTAATAATTAGACGCTGTCTCGTCGTATCACGTTCCTGCATAGTTGTGCAAAGATAAACCGTGAATTTTATTAAACGCAGCCTAGTTGGCGGTGACTAGGCTACCAGCCGCGTTATTTCGTTCTTACTTTCGTCATTGAAGTCCAATTTTCTTACCTTTTGTACAATACTTTCGAGATTCGCCCAGATTACGTAAAGCGCGATACGCGATCCATGGGAACGAGAGATTCTCTCGTGGACGGAAAGCACACGACTCGCTAGGGGAACCCAATAATTTTCAGTCGCGAGTGAAAGAGAGAAATGAGAGAAGTTTCGTAACGTCATTGTGTTATGTAGCACAGGCGAGAAACGATTACCTGGTGTCCTGATAATTCATTCGGAGTTGCGTCACGATTATCAGCCACGGTCGATTGTTAACAGCCGCGGTTATTAAGGAAGGGGGGGGAGAAAAAAAAAATCGGGGACGCGTTCGATTTCTGCAGCATCGGCACGAACCGAGACCTACGCGTCTCGATTTTCCTCCTCGTTTGTTTGTCGACGAACGTTTGTTCGAGGAATCGCGTATCGGAGAATCCGAAGGAATTCCGCGTTGGCATAATTCGCTGAAGCTGATCGCGAACACGGTCGCGATCGGCTCGCCGTTTCCGACGAATTTCCCGAGAACAGTGGTACTGTGGAAAACTTTCGCACCACGAACTTTGGAAGAACTTTGATCGAGTCGTACTTACGATCGTTCCCTCGCCCATGTTCTCCTCCTTCGTAGAAAATTTCTACTCGCTCGACGTACGTACGCAACGATCCTTCTCCTCGAACGTCTTATTTCCGACCGATTCTTTTGTAAACGAAAGCACACGTCCCGGTAAAAAGCACACGATAAATCGTTCTTTCTAAACTTTCACTGCTGGCGAAGAAGCACTGGTCACATCACTGGAGAGAGTTTCTTTATCGCGATGTTTTTTTATTTCACTCTCGTTGTCGGTGAACGATGATTCGAGATCCGGAGGATTCGTTCCTCCCCCAACGAGAAGAATTTGTCGTAGTGGCAAATTCGGGGGCAAACGCGAGATTTTACTCTCGTCGTCTGTCAGCGCGTGTTACTGATAAACCCGCGGCGTGCTCGTCTGGCCAGGTGAGCTCCCGCCGGTACACTGAACGCTCGCCCCGCGGCAATAAACTCCGTTTACCCACGGCAGTCGATCACCTTCGCGATTTTGTTTACAGGCGCTGCGAGTCCCCCCCGCCAGCTGATCGAATCGCGATTGAATTCGAACGAAATCGAATTTCACTCGACGTCCAAAGGGGTCAGCGATATACTCTGAGCTTAATTTTTATGTTATCTTTCTTATTTTCTTAATTTTACAATATTTTTATTTTTATTTTATCATCTTCTTATTTTCTTAATTTTATAATATTTTCATTTTAATTTTATTACCTTTTTATTTTCTTAATTTTGTAATATTTCATTATATTCATTACATCTTATTTTATTATATCTTATGATTTTCCTAATATCATGACACGAAATGTGATTTAGTCCGACGTGTCTCAGTTTTCAAAATTGAGAGATTAAATAGAGAACGGATGATTTTAAATTAAGGGGCAAGATAGAACTACGCAGTGCGGGAAACTCGAAGTCGATTGGAAAATTAAAAAGTTGAAAACTTTGGACGTACGTAGATAACACGTACGTGGCGATCGCATTTAACGGCGCGTGGTTTGGAAAGTTGTTGGAAACATTTGGAGAAAAAAAAAAAAAAAAAAAAACAAAGTGTCACAAAGACGAAGAGGAAGATTGTCCGGCAGTTTAATTTATCGAACGATCGAATCGGTCACCTGTTCACGGGCGGGCTCGCGACGGCGAACTGAAGGTAGAACGCGACGGACAGGCGCGTGTTGAGATCGGTGTGGCTGGTGTTCGTTCGTTCTGCGGCGTGAGCACTGACCGTACACGGAATACCACAAAACGTACGGTTGTCCGGAGGTAAATTCAGCCCATCGTGTTCCCCGAGGCATGCACCGACGGATTTCCCCTCTTTGTATCCTCTGGCCACCTGTGTGTTTCGACACCCGTCCACAGAATTATGCTTGTGGGAACGAACGACGAAGGGGTTTGGTTTGGCTCGGTTTGAAACTGAAAATTCACTTTGCACGATCAGAGATTAAGAAATTATTCGATAATATTGAAGTATGTTAAAAGCCAATCTTTTGTTTTGCAAACAAAATTTTTACCTCTCTGATTTAATTATTATTTCTGGTATTATTTGACACCTTCCAGGCGGGATTTCCAGGTTTGAAATGACAGCTGCTATTGTAAGAAATATGTATCATTTGTGAGAACTATCATTGTGAAAATTTGATAAATAATACTATTTTAACGCCTAGATCAATCGAATTTGTCTGAAATACGACTTGACTTTAGACTCTTGTTTCCTACAAGTGCTTAAAAAATACGGATATTCTTCGGACAAAAACATAACTATTTACAAATCTATTTATTTTAATTAATATATAAATTACGCAAGATATTTTCATTTATTCATTTACATTAATAATTGCAGGCGACCAAGATCAAGTATGTGAATGTGTTAACGATACTTTCCTTCGCAATTGCAAACCTGTTGTATGCATTTCAAAATCTTTTTTCACTATTTGATATATTTTATCCTCTCGAATTTCAAGTCGTTTCCATTCACCTAGCGATAAATGTATAAATCGGTCGCATCAATGACTATGTTCGAGCAAAGATAATTTTTTAAAAAACGGAAATAAAAGTTTCGAAAAGGGACGAGCGTTCGCGCAGTAAAGCGAAGAAAATTACGAACGCACGTGCAGGATACATCACGAGATTCCATTTCACGTAAAACCAGTTTGATTCCTCGAACTATGAATTTTCCTGTTTTATCGTGGGCAGATGTTATCGACGAACAGGATAACTTACCAACATTTCCTTATCCGTGGCGTGCATTTAATGAGGAAACAGCCCGCCGAAACCCGCTGTATCTCGTTTTACGACGCGTCCCTAACGCATACAGACGATGGTTATCATTTTCCCCAACGTTATTGATGCCGTTCTGCGGTATCGAGGTACCGAAACCAGGTACCTACCACGTGCCTACTTACCGTGAGATCAGTTCATTGACCCAGCCAGTGGTATTTCTTCAATTGCGTTTAGATGTCGCTCACTGTAGATGTTGCGCGCTTCTCGAGTCGATCTCGATTTGAAGAGAAGTTGAATAATATTTAATACGATATAATTTAAACAGTTAAATGTACCTGCGGATCGTTTCTTAAACTCGGACTTTAATTGTATTAATTATATTAAAAGAATTGTTCACGTGCTTCTTTTTTTTTTTTTTTTTTTTTTTTTTTTTTTGGTATTTAACCACTTGCGCTGGCAACTGATTGCGGACCATAACGAGCGACCGAACCGTACACAATAATTCGTCGCTTTCTTTCCTTTTGAACTCGTCGGTATGACATCACTATCGAATAGAAATTACTGAGAAGTGATAAATTTATTATTTGCTATTATTATTCTGTTTTACTTAAATATACTTAAATATAATTTTGGAACAAAAGATTCTCGATGTGCGTGAAAAGGTTAACACACCTAGAAGAAGAAATACACTTGGATCGATAGAAGGAAATGTAACGATCCAACTTCGAAAGAAATCGGTATTTTTCAGTTTTTACCTAGAAAATAACTCGAACAATAGCCACGTGTGAGCAGAGAAAATAAATTCTCTTCCGTAGCGTCGCGAGAAGATAGAAAAGAATGGAAGAAAATGTAGAGGGGGCAGAATACTTTGGTGTTGGTTGCTAGTTCAATTGCTCGTTAATGGATCGTATTCTTCGGTGACTCAGAGGATCGGACCTCACGATCGCGCCACGTACGTATACACGTACGTGAGTGGCTCCAAGATAGCGAGCAGATTTTATTTAAAGGAGACAGGTCTTTCTTCTCGTAGGGCTCGTTCCCTGCTCAGGCGTTTTACGTGATGTTACTGCGGGAGCTTCCTCTCCCGGGTCGAAAAGTACATACACGTGCATGTGAATTCCAAGAGGACTGACCTTTCGTACTCCTTCATGTACTCCGAGGATGAAGTAACTGTACGTGATTTTTATTTTGTACAGTGTTCACAATGGATATCCCACTGTATCCTCGCGTGTGTACGTACGCTTATTCGTCTCGAAAGCTGGATACCCGGATTCTACAATGTCGTTCAGTCCCTCTCTTCAGTCCTGGAATTCACTTCGACACGATAACAATTTAACAAATTTTCCACTTGCTCGTTTCTATTTTATTTATAAGAAAATATATATTTTTTTTATTCTGTTAAAATCAGCTGCAAGCTATTTGTCTCTTAAGGGGGCAGTGTGGCGGGATTAAAAATTACGAATACTTTGGAGAGCTAGTAAAAAAAAAAAAAACTATATATTTGATTAACATGAGTTTTCGTGGTTTATTTTAACACACTATGAACTGTAAAAAGCAACATTAAAAAAGAGAAAAAAAGAGGGCTGACATCCTTTTACATAAGTTTTTTTTACATTACCTATCGGTGTGCATGATTCCAACCAAACAGGATTAGTTGCAACAAAAAGGCAAAAGTAGTTCGAAAGTAAACAATATTCTCTAGAGATTGACGATAGAATCCAACATTTTCATTTTTGCGAAAATTATGAAAATAGCAGCTATTTATTTTTGATGTATCGAATTTATGCGTTTTTTGCTTATATTTTTCGAAATTGTTAAAAATTAAAACATGTTCGATAGTCAATCCCTAGTAAATGTTACACTAAAGATACGTACCAAGTTTCACAGTAATTAGTTGGTTAGATTCCGAGATATCTTGCACACCGTTTCTAAAAATCTAGTTTCGAGAAAAACGCGTTGAAAGTTTTAGAACGTCATTTTTCATATGTATCCTTTACTTACTTTTTTTACTTATGTATCGCGGCTTACAGTTCTTACAATTCACGACTAAATTGAATCCAAGCCCCCTAATATTCGATTCATCAAAAGTAATATTTGAACCACACGATTGACACTTTATAATATTGCTTAAAGTTGTAAACAGTGATACAAATTCAATTATTCTGTATCCACGGATTTATTATTATACCCCAGAATAAGTCGTTTTTAAAGGCTAGGACCATATTTCTAAGACTTTAAACTACTATTTAAAACAAAAAAAAAATCGATGTTTTTAAAATTTTACACTGTCCTGACCCTTTCAAGAAATTTCAATCCTTGTTTATCTAAATTGTTTATTATCGCTTGCTACGTGCAGTGAAATTTCCCTGTAGATAGTTCGATATATGTACGTGTTAAATTTCCGATTCTTTTGAAACGTTATGTGACGTAATCGCTGAAGTACGTGAGATGACAGATTTTACATAATGCCCGCTCTGTCCAATTTCAACAGTCGGAACCGGTTGCAATTTTTTCGTAATTTTTTAGCAACGAATCGCAGCGATCGTCCCAGTTTTGAAAGAAAATATTCATTCGTCGCGCGAACGGATTCAATTCACCACATCGTGAACTAAATTTCAACGCGGGCAACTTTGTATCACCGAATAACCGGTGGTTGTATCGTTCAATACGTCATTTGGTTCTAATGAAGCTATCTGCAACGTTGGCTAAACGCCAGCAAACAGTGCTGGACGTGATCATGCTTGAGGAGCTCGAATTAACTGTCGTGCTAATGAACGATTTATCTGTTGCAAAAATCTTATCAGACTGGAGCGCGTACAAGTGAAATGTTTTTCATGCTCGTATTCTACCGCGCTACGCAAATTGGCATTTACTAAGAGCTACGCAAATATGGAGTTTGTGTGCAACGTTGCAACGTGTGTGAAAGTGTAAAACGGTATGGAAATTGTATTTTCGATCGGCAGTTCTCAAATGCACAAATTGTAAAGTGGCCGGGGAAAGAGCAATTGTTTATAACCCTTCTACAACAATGAGATAACCGAAGGTCTTTCGTTTCACTGGAGTTGCTTGCTCCGTACTAAACGGCGAAATAAATTCTTACATCGCGTCATCGAGTTATCGCGTATCAACGACAAGCATAATTATATGCATATGTTTCAAGTAGTATATACGTATTCTTTTTTTTTCCCCCTTTCACTTCTACTATCTGATTTTTTTTTTTTTTTTACGATAATCCGACAGATAGCAACGCGATCCTCGAAATCGTGAAATCCAACTCGTAGACCTTGGTGACTCTTGTCACGGAATGTGAAGAAAGTATCCGAG